TAAAAATTTTCATATATAAAAGTGAAATCTAATCTTATAAGAACTGCATTTTCAATAACGTTCTAAGTTTAGAGATATACAATGGGTTATAAAAGAAAATGCTTTCAAATCTATAACATTAGCACAAGCAGTTCTAGACACCCTATAAAAATTCATTTTAAATTTTGAAATTAGAATAGATCTCTTTGAAAATTTCTTTGATTTCATAAATTTATAAGAAATTTTTGTGTACTGATTTCATTTTGGATATCAGTACATAAGTATAAGAAAATATAAAAATTAAATGAATAAGGGAGGGTAATAAAAAGGTAAAAAACGCGAGGCGAAACGAGCAAGGAAACAAAATTAATAGAAAAGAATCTCTAAATTAAAATTAATATTTACTTAGATAAGCATTTTTTTTAATTTTGCTTTTTATGAAGCTTTCATTTTATAATTTTTATAACGTCGTCATTCTTCTCTTTGCCTTTTCACTTTTACATCCTTCCGATGTTTGTGAGAAAATGTGACATTTTTGCTCATTTCAATTATCTTTAATGAAAAAAAAATTATTATTTTTTTTTTATTGTCTCCTTTCAAAATACGTGCTGCCAACGAATTATAGTACTATTATATAATGATAGCATTATGCGTAGTTCTAAACGATCTGCTTTGCTATAATTAATTTAATTTCTTATAGACATTCATGATTGCTAAAACGATAACGATTAGTTTCCAGAATATAAAGTTACCTCGATAATCATATAACGGAGGAACGAGTTAGATTATTTATTTAATTTAATATATCTTAAATGATCTATAGTTTTACATCGCATTTTACACCTTCTTAGCAACAAACCGAAAAAAGAGAAAAAGTGAGAGTACTGCGCCTCTAAACTATAATGCCAGAGAGTACGATTAAAATTTATGATTTTATTTCTGATCGAAGAAAGTTTTAATATTTGCAAAAACAATATATAAAAATAAAACAATTTAGACTCAATTGACATTCTCCCTTCAAAAATATCTGCCAAAGCACATGCTCGAGAAGCTAAACTGTTAATTCTATTTAGAATCAGTTTTACTTAATCTCAACTAAAAATAAAATACAATGTTATACGACGCCAACTCTTGTTCATTCATCCTTATAAAATTCCAAATATATATTATTAAAAAGACACGAATGAAAAAGAATTTGCAAGGGCAGCTTAAAAAAAATATCAAAGAGAAATAAAATATAAAATAAAGAGGTGAGTTGAATTAATTGTGAAAGCAAATAAAATGTCAATCAAGCGCAATTTATTGCGAAAGCAAAAAATTAAAATATTTTAGCTGAATATAGCAAAACACTAGAGATTATAAAAGAAAACTTGTAAAAAATTTTACATTAGTGCAGAAAAACGAAAAAAATTATTTTAAATGTTACTTACGAGAAAAACACGAAATTATAATTAAAAAAAAAAATTATACTAAAATGAAGGTGACAATGTCATGGGTAGCGTCGCGAAAAAATTTTTTCGTAGTAATTTTTGTATAAAATAAAATTGAAATATTTTAGAATATTATAAAATGTTTGTGCAAGCAAGCAGAATAATATTTCTGAATTTCAATTTTAGATATTTTACTAAATTATTGTTGCATTTAAAATTATTTTATCTTAAAAAGCAATCAGGATAAATATCGAAGATGCTACCAAATTGAATGTAGGGTAGGATTTTATATACATTTATACCCTTTAATTATATATAAACTTGTATTTAAATTGAAATTAATTGCCTTCGCTGCTAAAAAGTAGAGTTGAAAAATTCCAATTGATTTTCAAATAGTCAATTCTTTTAAAATAATTTTCACTTATATAAAATGAATTTCTAACAATATTTATTCTAGTTAGAAACATCATTCAAAAATTTTGTATTTGAAACAAAAATCACACATATGCTCATTACAAAATGAATTTAACGTTAAAACCCTTACAAGCCTCGATTATTTCACATGCATATAGAAAATAATTATACGCTCTAATTTGTACTCATTCGATTTTAATGATCACAAAAACAAAATTTAATAAAAATTATTCAAAATTCTTAAGTATCTCTTAAACCAGTTTATTAAAATAAAAAATATCAATTAAATTTACACAAGTTATAAATTTATTTTAGTATTCGTACTTAAAATTAAAAATAAAACATATTTTTCACCTTTAATGACCAACGCTAAAAATTTAATTTTGTGTAAAGAAAAATCAAACTGGGATTTTTAACGCCTGTAAAAACAGCTTCTCTTCATTTTATAACAATCTTTCCAAATAGATTTTATGACTTATGTTTGAAGGAAACAAATAAAATTTTCTTTTTTTTTTCTCTTTTTATAATTTTTCATTATCTTGTATAAATTTTACTTTTATTTCAGCATCTCAAACAGCCCAAAAGTATTGTTTTCCATTTTTCTTTTCTTTCAATTTAAATTTAATTGCAAAATTTTTTATATCTTTTCGAGTACTACACAATATTTAATATTAAATAAGTTGATTTTTTGGGAAGTATAAAAGAATGAGGGAAATTAAATTTTCTTGTATTTTTTTTTTTTCTAGAATTAAAAAATATTTCAATATCATTTATAAACATTTTATGACGTTCTCTTTGATTTTTATAATTAAAGAAAAACAATGAAAAATAAACAGAGAAAATTTTTTTTAATAAAATCACCATATTGTTATGTTTAGGACCAACGAATCAGTATTATTATTTAAGTTCCCCTACCCCATGATAACACTTAACGTAAATTTTATAATTTTACTTCTGGATCATAAATCTATCTATGTATCTGTGTGCATTGTGTAAGATAATTGAATAAAAAATTTAATTTTAAAAAAAGTTTACCTTAAAAGGAAAACTGATACAAGCATCACTTTATAATGTATAATGGAATGGGTTAGGTGAATCACATTATCATTGGTAAATATGTAATAAAACTTTATCACTTAATAAAAGTAGAAGTTAATTATGCATTTATAGCAAATTAATAAATTAAAAGCATAAAAAGTTGGTTCTTAAACAAAAACTTTACAGCTCCTGCTATAACTTCAATTCACTAATATCAATGCTACTTATCCCAAATCATTTATACACGTAGTACATATTCATCTATCTGAAACAACATTATCTGTAAATTTAATGAATTTATATATGTACATTCATATAGCTTTTACGAAAATTAATTGAATTAATAAAAATAAAGATTCAATTCTTGATACCCAATTTCCACCTAAATTTTATAAGTTCATTTTATTGACTTACATTTTGTAAGAAAATAATAATATAATACCAAAAGAGTTATTGAAATTGATAAAGAATCCCAAATGTGAAATTGAAAATAAGATATTCACTTCAAATGCTATAACTTAATCTAATAACATCCGAAATTCAGTATGAGGACAATGCTCATCATATTTTTTATATAACATGGTCGGTTACAAGTATGTGTAGTATATAATTAAAATTTCATACTGGCACAATATAAGTACCATATTATTTAAAATTTTACATCGAAAAGTCTGGTATGTATCTCAAAAAGAACTTATTAAAATTATAATGACAATAAAAACTTTTGATATTAGTTTTTTAATTTGATTCAGTAATAATATGACATGAGTTTAATTTAAAAAGTTTTCAAATAATGAATGTTGCGGTAATTCATAAATTACTGGATCATATAAAATATTAAGGAGTATATATATCTTGTAAGTAGTACAATGTATATATATACACATATATTAAAATTTATTTATGTATAAATTGGTTCATATATGTACATATATCATTATACCGGTACGAACGTATGTTCGAAGGGTATACTAAATTTGCCTTACCGATTGTAACGCTAAGAAATAACGGTCTTAGATACAGATTCAAATGTATTTTTTTGATCAGCGTCGAATTCTGAGTTGATTTAGCTTTGTCTGTCCGTCCGCCCGTCCGTCCGTCCGTTTCAACGATAACTCAAAAACTAATTGAGCTAAGTTCACCAAATTTTCGCAAATGATTTATTGTAGTAAGTGCCAGAACCCTATTTAAATTGGACATGATCGGGGTACCGGTTCGGGTAGCTGCCATACAACTTAAAAATTTATTTGACTATATCCTAGGAACTATAAAAATCGTGATAGTGAAATTTTACACAAGCGAATATATTAGTAGGGCCGATGTGTTTGATAAAATTCGTTAAAATGTCTTGGCTCTTTCTGTTAGCTGCCGTATAACTTCAATAGTGGTTTGGCGATATCTTAGAAAATATTGAAAATACAGTACTGAAATTTTGCATAAATTAATGTGATAATATGGTAACTTCAATGCAAAGTCATAGTCTTCAGTTAGCTATGACATATTTAACATTATAGGATAACAAATTCGTACGCGTATCACAGAGTTGACACGGTCAACTCAATTTTTTCTCTCGTTTTAATAATAAATTTTGTAAGCAGTAGAACGTGGTGGTTACCGCACATTATGCAATGTAATTTCTGTGAAAACATGAATGCAAAGCAGCAAAAAAATTTGAATTCAATTAAGGTCCAATGATAATTGTGGTAACTGTAAACAATACTTGAAAGTGCTATTCGAGACAATCAAAAGGGAAATCTTTGCTTGAATTTTCGCGAACTTTTCATAAAAATTTTGTTAAAATCGCTCCTGACATGTCATTATTGTAGCCGGAATTTGTTGTCAAGACTATCACCTTTTTCGCTCGCGATTTTCCTTTATTAAAATTACATTGTAATTGAGAAAATTAAATTTTCTATTTCATTAAATTTATTGCCTTAAAACTTTAATTTGCTTAGCAGACACTTTGTTTTAATATAAATGCAGTGAAAAACTAAATTCTATAGATAAAAATTTAAAATAAAATTTTTACAAAATATTAATGTTGTAATAATATAAAACTATTTCTAACTACAAGTTCTATTTTGTATGTATGTAATATTTTAAATTTAACTTATTTTATTTATTTTCTTTTAATTCCAGACAATAAATTGCGGTGACTTAGATAGCTACCCATTATTACAATACTTGGATCTATCATATAGTAATATTGATGATATTGAAGATGATGCACTTGGTCGTTTAGAAATGTTAGAAACATTATTTTTAGACCACAACAATTTAAAAAGGATACCAATAAGTCTTCCCACTAGTTTAGAAAATTTATTTTTACAATATAATCAAATAATTGAAATACAACCACAATATTTTCAAGGATTAATAAATTTAAAAGTATTAGATTTATCGGGTAATAAATTATTATATTTACCTGGTTTACCATTGCCAAAGCTATTAACGTTAAATTTACAATCAGCTGAATTAAAAGGATTAAGTCAATCACTAGTTAAAGAATCGCCAAAATTACGTGATCTATATTTAGATGATAATCCTATTAAATGTTCTGATTTATTGGGCATTGCAGAATGGGCAAATGGATGTCATGAAGAAAATTTATACAATACTGCTAATAATAATGCCATATTAAATAATTTTGCATCTGTATCAAGTTTGACAACACCATCAACATCATCTAATCGATTAAATATTGAACAACCGATAATACCAAAAGAATTAAAAAATATTATTGAAAATTCGTATAAATATTTTGAGAAATTTAATGAAAATAATGATAACTTTTTGAATAATAATTTGCAAGGTTGTTGTCAGCAAAATGAATATGAAGAAATTCGAAATAAGTTGAAATCAAAACGTCCGAACTGTGTTGAACTGAGAGCTTTGAAGGACCGGCAAATGAAATTACATCAGATACAAATGTTAATGCAACAAGAAAATACGGCAAGAGAAATTTATGAAAAGAATATTTTAAATAAAAATAATATGAAAGAATATCAAAATTCAGATGAATATGTGGCCGATGAAGGTACGATTTCAAATAATTTCAAAAATCTCAAAGATGATGACCAAACAACTATGAATTACAATCAGTCTGGCAATCGAGAATACATCACAAAAGAAATAGATAGCAAAAAAAAATTGGAACAATATTTAGAATCGGAAAAATTTGAGAATAAACCATTACAAGCCGAAAACAATGACAAAACAATAAAAAACCCCATTTATTCAGACACTACGAATATTTCAAGTGAAAAATTATCCACTCTTAATATATATTCTATGAATAAATTTCCAGAATCAAAAGAAAATACTGTAACGACTCCAGCAACGACTATATCAGAAACAGTAACATTAATTCCAATAAAATCAGCATTTTTAAATAAACCAGACAATGATTATGTCGAGACAATTCCTACTTTTAGCCAAAAATCAACCGAAAACCATACAACAAATTCAAACATTAATATTTATAATGCAGACAGTTTCCGTTTAAATTTAACATCTTTATCTGGAGCAAATAAAATAGCTATAAAAAATCCAATAATAAATATAACTACAATAGAAACAACAGACATTCCATTTTCTTCTAATGATAAATTTTTTGGCCAGAAAAATTTTTCAAAATATCATCAAATCGAAAAACAACAGGATGTTGAACAAATTGCAAATATATCTAGTTTAAGTTCTTTTTTCTCTACTGAAACAGGAAGTAAGATAAATCGAAACGAGTTAAAAGTAGGACAACAGCCAAATAATGCTAATGGAATGAACATGAACTCAATTACATTTAAAATAACTACAGAAAACCAACAACCACAGCAGCAACAAAATTTATCGAACGAACAAAAACAACAACCCGAGCAAATAAACAGAATATTGCCTGGATTTTTTGCAAATATACCTAAATCATCAATTGAAAATAAAATCAATAGCATGAATAACAATAATAATAGTAAGAATAGTTATAATAGTAGTGGTATTGATAACAAAAATCATTCTACCTTAGAAAATATATTTGACTTATTGCCAAATTATCCTGAAATACAAATGAATATGAATGATACTAATATCGATATTGTTTCAAGCCTTAAAAACCAAAAGAATAGCTATAATGACAATTACAAATATAATAAAAACAATGATAACATAAACTATAACAAAAGAAATAATGTAAATAAAACATTTTCACTATTAAATGATAGTGCTGCTGATGATGATGTTGATATTGATAAAAATTTAAATTCAAATAATGAAAAACCACAAATAATACAACAGCAGGAGGAAAAACAAAACCAAGTACTAAAATCTCCAATATCAAGGATAAATGATACAGAAGAAATTTTAACAACATATTCATCTTTTACCTTAACTCCAATTATGAGTAAAAATTTACATAAAATAGATAGTATTGATGAGGATGATGTTGTTGTCTTAACACAAAATAATGTAACATGGAGTACTAATAACGGTACAATAATAAAAGATAGGCGTTTATATGCTGCCGGGAAAACACTTAAAGACGAGCACTTTTATGGTAAATGTTTAAATAATTATAAAATATTCTTTCTTGTATTCATTTTAATAACAAATTTCATCAAAGATATTTTTCTTGTGATATATATTTCATATATATGAGGGACTGGAATTCAACGATTTCCTAGCTAAATATTTTTATGCTGTGATAATCCTTGATGTGGGAATACTCCTTTATAAAGCAGTTTTCAAAATTTTTATATCCTAGTTATTTATAATTCAAATTAGTTAATCTTCTAAAAGATATTTTAAACATTTTAGTAAACCGGCCAAACTTCTTACAGCATGCAAGACGCAGTCTGCCGGGTAACAATCAGTGCTTTATATAGCGAAATTCTCAGTTACTATGGCAGCTATAACATCTACGATTTCAAGTGTAAGAAAAACATACTTAAATTAAGACAATTCTAATCTTCAGAAAGGTTAAAGAAATTAACTACAACATAGAGTCTGAAAATTTTAATTTTTTTCTAATTATTGGAAACTTATTCACCTGCAAAACAAATATAGCTCACAAATAGCTTTGCCTGTTCCCTATCAAAATTTAAATTCACTTTTCCATAACCCAGTTTCAATTTTTCCATTTAAACTAATTAGACAAAAATTTGGTTTGAATTGGCCTTCACACCACAATTAGAGTAAAAGTTACTCCCAATCGCAATTTTTTTTTATAGAAAAAATACCAAATGAACTATGTGGAAACCAATTTTTAAAATATACTTGTATGACTGAAATTTATGCAAGCAGCATTTTATAAATTAAAAATATAATTGAAAAATTTCAATATAATTCTATGTAGGGGTGTGAGAATCACAATTGGTTTTCAAAAATGACGTGTATAATTTCAAGGAATATTCTTTGCTAAAATCACTAAAAAGATTAAATAGGTTTTAATTCTTCAAAACTTTAACAATTATCATCAAAATGTATCACAATCCATTAATTTTTACTTTCAAATTATTCCAAGTAATTTGTAAAACTAATTCCTTTCATTTATCTATTCTCTTTCTTCCAAAAACTTTCTTAGACTTTCTTCAGAGAAATGAAACAACGACGGGAAAAGTTAATGACAAGAGTAAATCTAAATTATCATCATCATTAGTTGAACAAATACCAATGGCGCCACAAAATGTTCCCCAAAATTTAAGCAACAATAAACACAATTCTAATGACAAGAAAAGCAATAATCACAATAACAACAAAAGTTTCAGCAATAATCATAGTCGAACTAAAAAAGATTTCTCAAAGAAATTCGATCAAATAAATCGTTCCAAATTAAAGAGGTTATCAACAATACCACCATCACTATCACAATCAACATTCAGTACTACAGTGAAAAAACAAGTAAATCAGAAGAAACAGCACGAACAACAACATCAACATCAAAAAGGACACCGTGACCAACAAAAAGAAAGAAACGTAAATTCAACGGATAAGAGAAAAGTTGTGCTTACAACTACAAAATCTATTGATAATGAAATGAATACCAATAGTTCAATTACAGTTCAAATACCATTAGACGATAATAACAAAAGTAATAAGAACAATAAAAATAAAAAATCTGGAAATATATCAAAAACTAATAAGCCAGTCACTGAAAAATCTTCGCACAATAAAAATACAGCAAGTATGCTTGGTAAAATTGATAATAAACAAAATAAGAATTTAAGAAAAAACCACAGCTCCTTTAATAGAAATAGCAATAAAACAATTTTTAATTCAACTACAAGCTCACAAAGGCAACAGCAGAAAAAAAATTTGCAACAGCAAAAGCAACAACAAAACTCAAAACAGTATAAACAAAACAACAATGGCCTCAATGAAGTTATACGATTCGATAACGATGTAGAAGAAAATCATAAACACGACACAATAAAAGATAATCATGACAAAGAATCTAATATTATGACATTTGGTCAGCAAAAGCCAAATTTATTAAATGCGAATTCAGCGAGAACTACAAACAATCAAAACGAAACTACTGAAAATGAATTGTCCACAGCATCATTACACCCAATACCAACTACATCACCCACATTACTAGAAAACAGTAATCAACAATATTATGTAGATGAAAGGAATTTTATAACAAAAGATCAGAACTATAACATTAGGCAAGAACGGGAACAATTTTATGATAATATGAAAACAACTCAACAAAATCAAAATAATAACATGAAAATAAATTCTGTTGATATGAAATTAAATGAAAACCAACAGGAGCCACAACAAGAACAAGAATCACAAAAACTATTAACAACTATATTAAACCAAAACCCCCTTTTGAAAAACTCCATAACTAAAAAGTTTAATCAGAACACAACAATATTAACTGGACAAAATCCTGAATTATCTGATAAGAATTCAATCGAAATTGAGAAAAAATATTCTGAAGTATCAGCAACATCCCCATTGACAACGAATATCGTCGACATTAAAATACAAGAACAACCAGAAAATGAAAATTTAATGGAAAATTCAAATTTATTCAAAGATAAAAATCAGATTAAATTTACTAGTGAAGATAGTAAAAATTCTGATGATACAACAAAATCTTATGATAACTCTAATCCTATTATTACAACGTTAATATACTCTGACATACCCAATCAACCAACAATAGAAACAGTGACACCAGCATCTAGTTCGGATGACCATTACAATTTAAATGAATTTTATTTAAATCAAAATGATAATAATATCATTAGAATGAATTCTAATATAATACCGGAAACAACAACAGAAATAGCATCCTTAAATGTAATTTCAAATTTAATCTCTGAAAATAATGAATTTGAAATATCACGCGGTGGAACAACAGACGCAACAATATCAACAAAATTTACATATTTCAAGCAAATTCCAAATAAACCTAATGGAAAACAAAATGAAAACTATGAAAATAAAAATTTTCAAGAAATAAAAACAACCGGATTATCATCAAAAAATTCAAATGTCAAAAACAATAAAGAAGAATTTAATGAAAATTTAAACAACATTAATTTTACGCTTCAAAATGATGAAAAACAACATTTAAATATATTGTCAACATTACCAAAAGCAAAACAATTAACATTAACAACAAAATTACCTTCATCAATATCAACAACATTGTCACCCTCTTCCTTACCATCTATAGAATCATTAACAAACGGAAATTTGAAATCCAATGACATGACATTAATGTCATTAATCAGTGATATGAATCAACATCAAACAACAAATAATTCAAAAATGACATTTATAACGAATACAGAAGAAAAATTTAACAGAGTTAATGAATATACCAGTAATAATGACAGTATTTTAAAAAATAATATTCTTATGCCAACAACAACAGTAACGTCTATAAAAACCACCCCTAATACCAATACAATACAAGATAGCAATTTTAATATTGTTGAAACAACTACTATACCACCAGAACAGTTACATTCATCAACGTTAACTGATATAACGACAATAATATCTAATAAAAAAAATTTAAATTATAGAAATGTTAGTAGATTTGATGACACCCATAAAGGTGGAAACAATAATAACAACAATAATAAAACCAACATTATTAATAATAGTAAGAAAAACGGTATAAATCACATAAAACTTTATGAAATTGAAAGTTTAATGGATGATAATCATGAAGATGTTGATAGTATTGGTAACACCGACAGTAATAATAATAATGAAAAATATTATTTTAATACTGATAATCATAAATATTTTCTCAATCATTATCACAATGATGGAATATTAAATTATAAATCGCATGAAAATCATAATTATAATAAAGAATTATCATCATCACCGTCATCATTAGAAAAAAATATTAATTTTGAAATAAAACAGCAACAATCAAATAATAATAAAAATAATAATCAGGAAGGTAATGAAGAATTTATTGAATTCAAAAAGGATACAACAGAACTTGTTAAATTGGAACATCAACATTTAATACCAAAATCTATTTTACACTTGAAAAACAATGACGATATTGATGATGATAATAATGATAAAACTGACAGTGATGATGAGAAATCAACGCATGAAAGTGTAAGTATACGTTACGTACAATAGCAAATAAATGTGTTCGAGTATCTAAAACAGAATTGTAATTTTTTTTTTATTTCCTTAACAAAATCTATTTCAATATTTTAATTTTATTGGTTCACGAAATAAAACGAAAAAAATCATTCAAAACGCAAACAGTTTCTGTGCGTTTTTCAATTCCAAAGCAAATTTCTTCTTTACCCTTTGTTCTTTATAACGCTCTGGATCCTCTGTGGCATACTTTCAAAGTAACCTAAAATTTCTAATAGTTTCAAATGTCCAACTTATTCGAATTTGCCTTCAACATCAGGTTGAAAGCAACTTCTCATAACTTAAAAAGTCCTCAAAATAATTACGGCTTAAATAATTTACATATTTAAAATGATAAACAATTTGCAAACAAAATATATATGAATATAGATATTGGAAGTGCTTTAGTAAGTAAAATTCTAACCAAAAATTGGGTAAATTTTTATAGAAGAAAACTTCTTACACAAGTAGGAAGAAAATGTAATTTTCTTATAAATTTAAATATAAAGAATTTTTGATAAAATGCTAAGCAAAATATCTACCCAAATAAATTTAATTACTCCTTCAAACTACTCCTTTTTGTATCGTTATACAAACTGTCATATTAATAGATAGTTCGGAGTGAAAAGCAACTATACGGTGTTTAGGGTGTTATAAGCCGTACACCTGAACGCAAGAACAATACGCCTTCGTCACAATTCAAAAAAATTTATGACAAGATTTTCGTTCTTTTCGAATATAAAGTGTTTATAAAATTTACTAATACCCATTATTACTTTCATTAGTGCTCAAGAAATCATTTGAATTGTTTAATATGGTTAATGAGAAGATAAATAATTAAAATAATAGGGAGTTCCAAATTTGCCGAACTTCTTCTTTTCTCAAAATCATTTTAACAACTGTTGTGTACGTAAACATAAATTTAAAAAATTTTAAAATTAAATTTTATGATTTTCTTTTTATATTCATTTTCTATAGGTTCGACTTCAATCTAATCGAAATCAATATTTTGAAGAAAATGAACAACAAAGTACTTCAGATATTTTTCCAAAGAAGTATAATGGACCATCATTATCAATACAAAAATTTACAACAATGACAAAACCAGGAATAAAATCTAACCAGCATAATACAAAAAGATTTAAATTAAGTGAAAATGAGAAACCAAACGATCAACGTTCATCGACAGTAATCATCAAAAGTATGAGCTCAAATACCAGTGAGAACAAATTGTTTAAACTGCAACAAAATATAAATCTGAACGCACAATCTTCATCACTGCCACAACAATCATCTACATCAACATTAATAAACCACCCTGAACTGCATTTATTTGAAATCAAAGAGCGTAAAACTATTATAACAGAGCCTCCATTATCGTTGACCAAAGAAGAGACATCAGAAATTTCTACAAAATCAATAAACAAAGATGAAATAATATTTCCTGCATTAATAACACCATCAGAATCTCACCATACACCCAATCATATGACAATAAAAGCAAAATACAATTTAAATGGCAAATTAGAAAAAAATCATTCAAAAATCAATACAGAAATACATCAGTATCAATCAATTTCATCATCTGAAATGCCTACTGAAAATCATCATAGAAACAAACCAGTAAATTCACAAACCAGAAAAAACGTATCAAAGAATTTTGCACAGATATCCAAATACTCGACTAATACTGATACATATGACAATCATCATACTACTTCACCTATTACAGCAATAACATTCGAAAATGTTATTGAACCCATTACTATGATGATGATTGCAGATGAACCTAGTATAAAACAATTTAAATTGGAGCATGAAACTGAAAATCAAAACAAGTTATCAAGAGTACAAGATGAAATCAATATGAGTGATGATAAATTAATGCACCAGCATAGTGCACATACTAGTATAAATAGCAGAAAGGAGAACAAAGATAGTAAAAATAATAATGTTTCGAATACCAGTTCCAGTAAAAATTTATCCGCATTGAAACTTCATAAAAATAATTTAGATAGTATTAACAAACCATTGGTAAATGCAATTGAACCAACAACTATTGGTTCACTCAACATGTCATCTAATAAAATTAATGAAACTAGCAACTTAAATAAATTTATTAAAAATAATATTGATGAAAATTTAAATGCTTCTTCTTTAATATCAACACAAAAATATTCTACTAAGGATAATCTATACAATATTACTAATAATAATTTAACAAGTTATATTGCACAATCACATGAACCACAACATTTACATAATAATGAAGCAAAGGAACAAAAAGAAAAACAACAACTGCATCAATTACATGAAAATGTTAATGGTGGTATGCCACCCGAACAATGGCTAGAAATACGAAAAAATCCAGAAGCAATAAATTTAAATCATCCAGGACTATTCATTGTAATTGGACTTACATTTGGAATTTTATTGTTATTGGGTTTAATGCATGTATATCGATGTCAAAAGCATCAACCATCATCATGGCATCATTACTATAATAGTAATAACAATAATAATAACAGTAGTCGTTCTAATCTTAGATACCAGGATTATTTTATACACAATAGTGATAGTAGTCGTAGTAATAGTAGTGGTAACAATAATAACAGCAATCATCATAGCAGTTATATTAATAATGATAATTTACAACAAATAGAAAAACAACAGCAATATTGTCAGAATAAAAATAATTTTTATTATAATCATAATTTAAATGATTATCGATCCAATAGTAATAGAAATAGATTCATTAATAGTAATGATGAAGATGATGATATCAGAACATTTAGTCAATTACCTGATGAAAATACTTTAAATGATTATTATATTGAAATGGATCATTCAATAAAATCGGGAATTGTTTCACATTCAACAGTATCATCGCCATCGATATCATTACAAAATAGAAATCATCATAATCTAAATGAAGAAATTCCAGAATCAATTGAAATTGAACGCAATCATTTAGATATTTCTAATGATGGTAGCATACCAATGGAATTATTAAAACCACCAACAAATTCATTTAAAAATTTAAAAAATAATTTAAATGATAATAGTGATAATATCAGTAATTGTAGTGGAGATACAATACATACTAGTTTCTTTGGTGGATCCGGTGGTATACATAGTGGTAATGGAACAAGTAATGATAATAATAGTGGTAACAGTATTAGAAATAATGGAAGTAGTGGTGCAGATATTTTAAATAATTTAAGATTTAATCGTATTCAAAATAATGTTAGCTTATATAATGGTAATAGTAGTAGACCAAATGAAAGAAAATTATTTGACAATGGTTCTACAAATATAAAACCGAATAAAAGATTTTGGTGACGACCGTTTTCAATTAAAACCAATTTATATAAAACATTTAATTGAAAGGAGAAAATATAATATTATAAAAATAAAATATATTTAATTACATAATAGCTTATAATATACTTTGTATTTTTTTTTTAATTAATTTCTAAAATAAATAATAAGTAAAAATATTATTAAAAATTTATAGTGAACACAATAAGAAATTCATTCTTATGTACTGTACAACTGACAATTATTCTTAATTACAAATTAACAAATTAATATTGAAAATTATAACAAATATTTAATTTTATTAATAATGATTAATGAATAATATTAATATTAAATACTAAATACTATAGCTACATAATACATAATGTTCTAGAAAATGATGATTAGTTAAAGAACCAGCTACAATAATAGTTTAAAAATAATTATGAAAAGATAAAATTGCATGTATACTATACTCGTATTAAAACAATATTTATAGCAAAAATTGCAATTGAAGAATTTAAAGTTCTACATAATTTTAGAAGTTTCTGCAAATTGAAAATTTTCTTCACTTCATACAACCAAAGTTTATATTTTAAAGAAAAATTCTATTCAAAGGAAATTCAATCAAATTTTTTATAAAGATTTCAGATGTATGAGTAAAGTCGAAAAATCGTTTACCAATTATTAATAAACCACGTTGAATTAATAGATTAATTAGTTTTACCTTAATAATTTTAAATAAATAATATTCGTTTGACAACACTGTGATCAAATTCAAAAATAACATTTTTATGATGAAACTATTGATTCCGTATAATTTTTAAAAATTAAATAAAATTTAAAGTTCGATTTTCCATCGCTTACATTCGATTTTATTTAATTAACGTTTAAAAAATAATTTTTTTTTGAAAAATCCTTTGTATATAATTATAATATTTTAACAATATAAAAGTCAAATATTAGTCATTTAGTAGAGAACTAGTAACATTAGCCGACATTCTAATGAATCTGATAATTTTTAGTCTGGAAATTTTATAGGAGCGATTTTATAGAGACTGGTATTTCTATTTTATTGTTTCAAATTTTTAATAATTCACAAAATTCATAATTTTTAAAATCAATACGTACATATATATGTATATAATGTAGAACCGATAATTTACTATTAAAGAAACATTAAATTTAAACCATAAATATTACCAAATTTTTAAGGAATAGTAAACAACAAAAAAAAAACAAAACAATAAATAAATAAAGAAAATTATAAAACTTTTTTTTTTAATTTATTTAAAATATATTTGTATAACAAATAAATAAATATAAAAGAAAATAATTTCTTCCTTTCTATATTATTATTTTTATTTAAAATATAAATTTAAGAACCCATTGTAAATAAAATTAAACAAAGTATTTTTCATACATACATACATATATATCTTTATATTATACATTTTACATTCCAATATTTGTAGAAAATAAATTTATTCTTTAATTATTTTGGAAAAACATAAAATAATTATAAAAACAATTTATGTACATATATACATTATATAGAAATGTTAGAAAATAGATGCATAAGGACATTATAAGTAAAAAAAAAATGAATATGAAATCAATAAAAAAAATATTTTAAGGAGATAAGTATAAATATATATATGAAAAATATATACTTACATATATACATATATGTATATGTAAAAATAAAATATATTTAGAATAGTATAAGATAATAATTTAGAAAGTATTGTAAAAAGATTAAGAGAAAAAAAAAACAACAATAAAATTTCAAAATGATGGTATAAAAAATCTCTTTTATTTTGTTTTTTAAGCTCATAAACCAAATTGGTTTACATACTACTTTACTGCATAATAAATAAGAGTGTTACAATAGAAACCTAAATTTAAGTTTAAAGAAATTAATAAATCTTATAAGGCTGGTTTCCAATTAGGGCTAAGGTAAAATTTTTTTAAAATTCCTCAGCATTCGTTTTACTTTTGCCCAAAATAAATTTATGCTTATTGCAGAATTCAACTTTAACAACTATGTGACTTTGCTCTTTCAAGAAATTAAAATAATGCTTTCGACAGTTCGAAATTATTTTTTTCATGTTGAAAGTAGGTAAATTTTTTTACATGAGGATAATATCAAAAACATCACTCAATTAAAAAAAAAAACTCATATTTTATGAACTGTTGACATTGCTGCTACACTGCGACAGCGAGAATCATACGAAATGTTGTTGAAAAAATGTCATTGTTGCAATTCAGTTTGCATTGGCAGTGACAACGACATTAATTTAATCTAAAGCAATCTGAAAACATTTATTCATTTTTTAATTTTTCAATATAAAATTCAATACAGAAATATACAATTCAATATAAAATATACAATTTAAATAAATAAGTGGGTCAGATGTAGACTTGCCGTATAAATAATGTTTTATTCTGTAGTGTTTTCAATTCAAGAATTCAACCAGTAAATCAAATTATTGAAAAATTTTTAAATCTCATGTGTATCTTTCTATTGTAGGATCTTTTGTCGGACCTTCAGATATCTTTCTTTTGGAGAATCCAAAACGAATTGCAAATATCACAATATTAAATAAATTTAAATTTTTGAAAAACAACTAACTATGAAATTAATTTTTTCATTTTCCGAATTTATAGTTTCATTCTGTAGTTTCCACGTTCCGCTTACAACTAATCTAATCGTTAGAAAAAGTATACATAGCGTACACCATTTTTCTCTTGCTTCCCTTATTGGTTATAATTTATTTTAATTCTAACTCAAAACAAAAATTTGTTTGTTATTTTGTAATTATTTGTAATTTGTTTTCTTTTTATACAAAATAAAATTCAATAACTTACAATAATATTTGATTAAATATAAAAAAAAAAATAATATAAAATGAAAAATTAAATATCATTCTCTCTCTTTAACAAATTATTTCGCTTTTAATAACCATAAACTTAAACTCATTAGCGTAACACCTTAAATAAACACCCGTAAATTAACCAGAAATGGCAAAAAAGAAACAAAGCATGAAAATCAATTTTGTGAAACAACAACATAAAATTTGGACTTAATTAAAAACTTTTCCCAATTGGAGAAAAAAAAAACCCAAAAACAAAAGTAGTAAAAATTTTCATCGTTGTTCCAAACAACATAAAGATTTTCATATATCATTCGTATTGACAAAAGTCTGTTGCTTGCATTGGAATATATTAATTTTTAAAGGAAATTAAAATATTTTTTTTAAATAGCCATAAATATGCATCTATACTTAAATAAATAAATAAGTACATTATTCTTCGCATTCCCATTACATCAAGCGTGCAAATATTAAAATAAATATTTAAAAATGAAAAATTTTTGAGTCCTTTATACATTCTTGAAATGTGTAAATAAATTTTTCAATTAAATTTATTAATATTTGGTTGATATTTATTTCACAATAGCAATTCGTATACATACAATGCAATGAAAAGTTTATTGCTCTGCAAGTAGAAGTCTGCGAAAAAACGTTGCTAGAGTTATGTACACTCCACTATATAAACTCATATATAATATAACTTTCCTACACTATTAGCATATAATATAAATTTTCTATACTATAACCAATCATATTAAATCATATAAAATCATATTACAATTATTTTCCCAGACTATGTATTTTAATAGCCAATTAAAGTCACATGTTCTAAACATATGTATTTAAAATAAATAATTATGTTCCCATAAATACTTTAAGTTATATATCATATTACATTATTGTTTCTCACAGATTTTTGTCAATTCTAAATATTCAAATTACATACTGTTACCTAATTTTTATAATTTCTTTGTTAAACTAAAATTGCTGAACTAACATAAAAAATGTATAAATACTGTAGAAATAAAACAATCAAAATCAGAATAAATCTTAAGTTAAGTGAATTAATTAAATCTTTAAATAAAGTGTATTTTTGATAATCTAAATTCGCATTTTTTTCCTACCTGCGTTAATACGATACGTAATTCTAGCAATGTCAATTTTTTTTAATACAAAGGCTTTTAATATTAAGATTTTGTAAGCCAATTTTATTAATATATTTATGTATAATCAAAAATAATAATAAACAAATTTAAATTTTGCAATAAACAAATTAAAAGAATCAATTAAAAAATTAAGCAATTCCTTTTTTTGTTGGTATATGCACACATACTATAATAAATGCTATTGAAAAGTATTGATTTTGCGGAACGGAAATAATACAAAAATATTAACCATCATAATTTTCAATTTAAAATATTTATAATACTTAAGATGTACCTATATAAAACTCTTAAATAAAGTTGTAATTAAACAAAATTTTCCCGGTAGATGACTTTACATTTTTATAAAAGTATTGAAAATAAATTGCAAATCTTTAGCAATAAAATTTATATAGATCACAATTTATTACTTTTGAATATTAGATTTTCTCGTAAAATAGTATTCCTCACGCTTTTTTCAACTACTCCTTTAGAGTATTATACAAGCATTTTAACAAACATTTACAAATTCTACTACATATTCAATTTACACTTATACATTTAAAACTTGCGAAAATTCCTTCCAAATTTTTTTAATTAAAATATTTGCAATAGGTATTATAAACGAAATTATTAAATAATAATTTTCTTAATTAATAACTTATTTACATTTTAGATTTTTACTTATAATTTGAGAGAAATTAAAGTAAACGAATTATAAATACCATTAAAAAGGAGAATAACGCCTCGGGATATGTACAGAAAAGTAAAATTAAAACAAAACAAAAAAATGAAAATTACTTAAGTCTTCAATATACAAAAACAAAAAATGGCAAAAGCAAAATAGAATTACTTTTAATCTAATTTAATCCTTGTTCCTTATTTCCTCATTAAAACATGTTCATCATTATTTGATTTCCTTTGAATTTTTATGCCACTCATTGCATTTATTTTTAAAGCTTTTTAAAAAGAAATCGTTTTTTTTTTTCTTCTTTTTTAATTTTCGTTTTTGTCCTCCAATTCCTTGTAGATTTTTTTTTTAATTTAAATCAATTGCCAAAAAAAGAAATCAAGAACATAACGTTTAATTTCTAGAATTTTTAGTAAAAAAAAAAAAACAAAATGGCCTACCGTTTACATTAAATTCAAAGTTAATAAAATTTCAAAAGAAAAAGGGAGAGGTTGAAAAGGTAAAAGCAAAAAAGAAAAAAATTTTCTTCTTTA